GGAAAGCTCCACCTCGTGGTACAACTGTTGAGCTAGCTCATATAGATGTCCCACCAAACATGAATTTATGGCCATTATTTCACAATGGTGTAGCTGCTGGTCTTCGTATACATCCAAACGCATCCAATATCGATTCAACATGGATAGTATATAATAAGCAACAACAAGGCGAATTTGGTATCGAACATTCAGGATTCTTAATGGCCCTTGGTTTAAATGGTCATCTGAAGAATTTAGCACCTTTTAGTATGTATGAATATCTCGTTGAATGCCACGAGGCTACTAGTGTTGGACTACTATTAGGATTGTCAGCAACCCATCGTGGTACAATGAATGTTTCTATGACTAAATTGTTGTCCCTTCATGTGGAAACTTTGTTACCTCCTACAAGTATTGAATTAAACGTTCAACAAAATGTTCAAGTAGCTGCATTGATGGGAGTTGGTTTAGTTTATCAAGGAACTGCCCATAGACATATCTCACATGCTTTATTATCAGAGATTGGTAACTATTCAATACAAAATTATTACTTTTAATTAGATACCACTTTACTGATTAAATAAAATTATTTAAAGGCAGACCTCCAGGACCAGAAATGAAAAATTGTGTAGATCGAGAATCGTATTCTTTAGCAGCAGGTCTTGCATTGGGTTTAGTAGTAATAGGATGTGGAGGTGGGCCAGATTTAGCAAACATACCAGATACTTTACATTATTATATGATTGGAGGACATGTCAGACCTTTTACTGGAGCACAAAAAGAAAAATATAAATCTCCTAGGTAAATATATTCATATACTAATAGAAATTATTTGAACTTTCTTCTCATACTTTTCCTTAATTTTAGTTACCAAATAAGAGAAAGTGATTCTATAAATATAGATGTAACAAGTCCTGGAGCAACAATAGCTCTAGGACTTATGTATTTCAATACAGGAAATAGAGCTGTCGCAGAGTGGATGCAAGCTCCTGATACTCAATACTTATTAGATTTCGTACGACCTGATTTTTTATTATTAAGAATTTTAGCAAAATCACTTATTCTTTGGAATGAAATTGAACCAACAAAGTCCTGGGTTTCTAGTCACGTTCCTAATATTGTTTATAAATATAGGTTACAAAAACCAACTTCTGAAATAGGTCAAAATATAGATTTGGAAACCATGAAGTTAGTATATGAAATATATAATAATATCATAATATTTTTTTATACTAATTAACATTAATTCAAAATATAGTCAAGCTTATTGCAATATAATTGCGGGTGCGTGTATGGCTTTGGGTTTAAAATTTGCGGGAACTGCCAATAGAAATGCTTTTAAAACTTTATATAATTATGCCCAGATGTTTATGGCATTATCACATAAAACTATCGCCGAACTAGCGGGAAAATCAACTATTGAAACGTGCTTAAATGTAACTTTACTTTCTGCTGCTGTTGTAATGGCGGGAACAGGAAATTTAGAGGTAAATTTAATTCTTATTATTTTATTCTTAATAAATTATTAAATATTTACATATATTGTATTTAATAAATGATGTATACTAAATTGGATAGATTATGAGAATATGTCGACATATAAGGACTCGGGTGGGGCCTGCAAGTAACGTTGTTACGTATGGATCTCACTTAGCGACACATATGACTCTTGGTCTCCTTTTTCTTGGAGGAGGAAAATATACCCTTTCTAATAGCCCTAGTGCAGTAGCTGCCCTTATAATTTCTCTTTTTCCAAAATTTCCAACACACAGTAATGATAACAGGTTAATAATACTGTAATTTATGTACAAAAATTAATTTATTACCTTAATAATCATTTGTATTAATTATCAGATATCATTTACAAGCATTACGTCATTTATATGTTTT